AACTACTATTCCGAAATATATCTATATTTTTTTTAAATTCATATTTGAGTATTATTTGTAGAACAATTTATCGTATCGTATGATAGGTACAATTTATTATACAAATAATGTAAGAATGTTGCATCAGATTAATATAAAATGAGATAAAATTGTTTTATTTTATAAATCAAAAAAGTAATATGTTAAATAAATTGAAATATAACTTCTTAAATAGAGGATAGAATATTTTATATTAACGCACATGTATCCAATTGTGTATACACATACTTCATGTAATACCGCGTGCTTTATGTATATAAGCACATAGTTCTTTTCATAATTTCTTTATTTTCAAATTGATAATAGAATTCACTGATACATTTTATAATTATAAATAAAAACTTGTAAATGTGTATTTTTATAATTTGCAAACAATTAGGTTAAGTAAAATATTACTTTGATGTGGAACAATAGTTAATGATTCTTACTGTTCTCCAACTATATAATTAGCCACACAATTTATAATTAATTAGCTGTAAAATCTTTCATTAATAGGGTTATAGTGAAGAGTAAAATACACATTTAACAATAGTGTAGTAAATGGTTATAATAACTGATACTTGTCAGTGAAAAAAAATAACTTTTTTTAGTGATGTTTCATCTCACTACATGTATCTGTAAGTGTATTGTAAGGAATATTTATGTAAAAATTAAATTATATCATAAAAGACCACAGGATTTTTCTACTGTGTACACATTAGTAGCAATGCAGCAAAAGAAAAAGTTAAGAGATATGAACAGCAACTTTAGTGCATCGTTAACAGTAAATATATCAAAATAAATTAATTATATATTGAAGTTCACAATATCAATAATACTTTTTACTAAAATTCAATAATTTTGAAAACAGATTATTGGGAGTGGAGCACCAGGAACTCCAGCGTGTGTATTCCTTGTAACTGATCAGAGAAATTATTTATTTAATTGTGGAGAGGGAACTCAACGCTTAAGTCAAGAATATCATTGTAAATTATCCAAGTTAGAGAATATATTTTTGACAAATATTTCTTGGAAAAATGTTGGAGGGCTTCCAGGTTTGCTTTTAACAGCACAGGATAATGGTTCAACTACAATGAACATTCATTCCCCCGAAGGAATGGATATATTCACAGAAACGATTAAAAAATTTACATACTTAGGGAAATTGAAAATTTCTTATTTTCCTACCAATGAATTTGAAGTGTACAGAGATCATGTAATGACAGTTTCATATGTTAATATAACAAAATCTTCGAAATCTATTGAAGAATGTTCTTTAGATATGGAAGATAAGAAACAATATTATTCAAATTTAAATGGTAAAAGAGTTATTGATAATGAAGTAGAGATGAACAAAGAAAAGAAAATAAAAAGCCTTCCACGTGTAATGTGTTATATTTGTGAAATTCATCCAAGACGTGGAAAACTGTTAATAGACAAATGTATTAACTTTGGCTTACCACCTGGACCACTCTTAACTCTCTTAAAACAAGGACTAAATGTTACCAAAGAAGATGGAACAATTGTTCATAGTAAAGATGTGTGTTTACCAGATAGTCCTAAAACCACTTTTATAGGTATTTTTTAAGATGTTTAAACAAATCTTTAACACATGTAAACAGTTTAAACATAATTTCATTGATATTAGATTAGCATTTCAGCATTCTTTTCATATGTTTACTGATTTGTTTTTCATAATTTTTAGATTGTATTTAGAAATAATTAAAATATACTGTCTAGTACCTAAAATAATCTTGACTAATTACAATTAATTAAAATTACAAATTTTTTTATTATTAAAGATATATCAACAGGCAGCATTAAATGAACAAAATATTGAAGTATTTTGCATACTTCATTTTACTCCTGAAAAGGTTTTCACTGATCAGAGGTATCAAAATTGGATAGCAAATTTTCCTTCTAAAGTCGAACATATAATTTTAAATAATGAAAATACTTGTATGGGCAGTGAAGCTGTTCATAAAAATCAATATTTATTGAATACGTTACATCCTGAGATATTTCCTTTACTAAACAAGAACTGGATTAAAGAAGACGAAAATGTAAGACATCTATGAAAAAAGATAATAATAATGACATATATAATTAAAAGAGTAATGTGCATTTCTTTTTATTAAAAAATATATATTGTAAATTGTTCAAGATTAAATAGTCGAAAAATGATTTATTTCAGATCAAAAATAATTACATTCACCGTGCAAGAGCAATACAAGTATTAAAACTGCGTCCAGTACCCAAAAAGTTAATTAAAACGGAGGTTCACATGGAACAACAAATATACATTAAGCAACTTTCTGAAATTCCTGACTTTCTGAATGTTTTAAGTGAATTGAAATCAAATATTAACAAAAAATCGACAGAACTTAACTTAAATAATACTTGTGAATACCCACGAATTGTAATGTTAGGTACTGGTTGTAGTGTACCAAATAAAGTTAGAAATACAAGCAGTATTCTGTTAAGAATTGACAAAAGTAATAGCATCTTATTAGATTGTGGAGAAGGTACCCTTGGTCAGATTATTAGATTGTATGGAATTTCAGAAAGTGACAACATTTTGCGTAGCATTAAGGTATGTAGTTAATATTTTATAATAAAGAAATGATTAAGTTTGTCCTTAAACTACATCAAGTGACATTTGGTTTTACTCTTTTAATATTAAAAGCTAAATTAATCTTTGCTTGTAGGCTATTTATATATCGCATATACATGCAGATCATCAGCTGGGACTTATTGGTTTACTATTAAAAAGAAAACAAATCACGAACGATAAGTTATACTTACTAATACCGATGAATATGATACCGTGGTTAAACTTTTATAATGATCGATTTGAATCTATATCACAGCAATATATTTTACTGAACAATAGTGATTTATATATGAATCACCATAAATTAAGTGTGCTTTTTGAAATTGAACTTTTCAAATTCTTGAATATTAAAACAATAGACACGGTTTATGTTGCACATTGTAAGCAAGCGTTTGGTATCGCTATTACTCTTGAAAATGACAAAAAAATCGTTTATAGGTAAGATAACTAACAAATAAAGTGTCCGAATATATCATTTTTGAAATGACACTAGGTGCACGCTTATAGTAAATGCTTAGCGTTGCACAACAATCATGGGTTTTGTCAAAATAAGTCCTCAATTTTAAGAAATTTGAGTTCAAAGTTTTGCATCATTGTAGTTCATATGGTAGTCCAGTAACACAGACCATATTTATTAGTAGTTCTAGCTGCAGTGACTAAACATTCGACTGCATACCTATAAATCATTCGTTCATATTCCATGTTTCCTTAGAATTTTTTTCTTTGCAATAAAGCTTTTACATAGCTAAACAATTTTTGTTTTATCTTAGTAATAATATTAACACAATATACTGTTATTGTAATATGGTATAAGTGATATCAAATACTTCAAAAATATTTGTTATTTGAGATTTTCTTAGCTGGACTATCATAATACAAAGCTTCAAATTCAAATTTCTCAAAAATAGAGAGGTTTTGGTAAAATTTATTAAGATTATACAACACCAAGCATGTATTATAGTTTGCACTTATTTTTAGTACCATTCCAAAAATGATGTTCACATTCATGCTCTCTCTTTATGAAATAAACAATTAAGAAAATCCATGAATAAATAATTATTTTTATTGTTTGTTTCAGCGGTGATACTATGTTTTGTCAAAATCTCATAAACTTAGGTAAAGATTGTGATTTATTAATTCACGAAGCAACCATGGAAGACGAACTTGCAACATTAGCAAAACGTAAACTACATTCAACAACTTCTGAAGCGATAAATGCTGGCAAATTTATGAACGCAAAATTTATCTTATTAACGCATTTTAGTCAGCGTTACTCAAAGATTCCTTTCCTCCCAGAAAAAGAAACAAACGTTGGACTTGCTTATGATAATATGGAGATCACATTATCACAGTTACCGTTGTTACCACTTTTTTATCCATGTATAAAAATAATGTTTAATGAATATAATAAAGTATTGGGTGTTTGAACATCTAAGGACATATTTTGAAAATTCTAAGCAACGATATTTTATTAATAGTTTAATATTGCAGTTTATATAAATTAAAAGAAATATACTTTGGAAGGGAAGGTAATAGTAAAAAATTTTTAATAATAAATGTTTAATAGCAGAATTTATTGCTTACATAATGCATTTAGTTTATCCCGCTTTCCTCAGAATGATAAATAACATAAATTAAAAATAGTTTCATCAAAATTACGACCTTACTATCAATCTCATTTATGTATAAAAAATAGAGAGCAGATAAAAAAGTATCATATAAAAGATAAAAAGCACATCGAAAAATAATTTTCCTCTTTTTGTCGAATAAAAATATTAGTACATTCTGAAAATATTGAGACTCGACAAAGAAGAGGAAAATTTTACTTATAAGCTAATTGATAAATTACACGCCCACAAAATTGGTACTAAGCGATATCAAATTTACGATTTTTATTTTTTTTTTTAGCGGGCTATGGTGTGAAATTTTTTCGTAAAAATAGCTGTAAAATTGTTTCGACCATTGCACAGCTTACGGAATGTGAATTTCTTATGTAGAAAAAGCGTGGTTTCAAATTATACAGATTAATTCGATTATTGCATCGAGATTTTCAGAAACATATACACTAGAGAGCATGTTTATTCTAATGACATATTTGTGCGTTTATGTTAATAGCACACGGCATTAATAGAAAGAAAAGATATTTATCGTATGGAATGATTACCTTTATTAACTGAAATACTATGTATATTACTTATTGACGTACTTCAAAATGTGCTGTCTAGTGTATGAACTGTTTTATAAGAATTCAAATATTAGTATTGATATTAATATTAATGTGAAGACTAGAAGGCTGAATTTTTTAAAACACTTAAGCGATCGGTCGAATTATTAATATTTTTGGTTATTTTACATTACAAATGTAAATTATCGACAAAATACTTCTTATTTATTAAATAAACAAATTATTAATTGAAAAAGAAAGAAAAA